GCCGATTTTCTCAAATACAATAGGACATAGCTTCTATTCAACCAAAAGAAGTTTCTTAGCAACCAACTCCAAATCCTTTCCCCATTTATCTATATAATTCTCCATTCCATGTGAAACCTCGGACTCAGTTGATGAAATATCGGAACTCGGGCATGCAAACCAGATTATGCTAAAAGATTTGTTTCATCAAGTTATTAAATGTATTGGGCATTAACGCTGCATTTATACAAAGTAAGAAATTAAATATTTTAACAGTACTAATTTGAGAGCAAAGAACACTAACATCAGAAAATTGAGACTCAATAATTCACAATCACAAATGATGTATGTGATTTCAAATCACATGCATGTCCACACTTATAACACCGAATCACTTGTAACTCTGAAAAAGGTTTCTTCTCCGTATTGGTCAAAAGCTCAAAATATAATCAGGTGGTGCTTTTATTTTTCTCAATGATGGCCTTGATAATAGCATTGAATGAAGTATGTCAGGATTCACTTTATAACATTGTCCTATTTCGATCTCTCTTAATTGTGTGCAGTTATCTAACACATAGTTTTGTTGGTTAAATTTAAATCAGTCTTAAATAAATCATAAGTCAGATTTTCTTAGACAGTGGGAAACTTATTCCTTAGGGACCTAGACATAATTATTACTGTAATTGTTAATATTCTATCACGTGACTCTATATAAATCATATTGTATCTCATTGTAAAAGTTAGTTGGATAAATTTATAAAGAAAGAAGTTAATAGTCCACTCCCATTTCTCCTTAAATTTCTTCAAATTAGTATCAGAGCGCATGGCAAATATGATGGGTCAGATGCCACTGTCACGACTTTCAAAGTCGAACTATGAGAACTGAAGTATCCAGATGAAGGCGCTGCTGGGATCGTTAGATGTATGGGAAATAACTAACGATGGGTTTGAAGAACCATCAGATACGACGGGAATCACAACTACTCAGAACAAGGCGTTGAAAGAAACGCGTGCAAAGGATAAAGCAACATTGTACATGCTGTTCAGAGCAATTGACGAATCAGTTTTCGAAAAGATTGTTGGTTCGACTACATCAAAGAAGGCGTGGGACACGCTAGAAAAAGATTTCAAAGGAGCAAATAGAGTCAAGCAAGTTTGCTTACAGACTCTTCGAGGAGAAATGGAGAGAATGAAGATGAAGGAAATATAGCCCATGTCAGACTACGTCACTCGTGTGCAGACGGTGGTAAATCAACTCAGTCGAAATGGAGAAGCAATGTCTGATGCTCGTATTGTCGAAAAGATTCTGAGATCTTTGACATATAGGTTTGAAAATATAGTATGCGCAAAAGAAGAAGCGAAGGATCTTTCGACAATCACTGTCGAAGAAGTGGCTGGTTCGCTTGAGGCACATGAGAAGAGCAAAATAAAGAAGAAGGAGGAGGCTCTTGAGGATGCAGAACCCAACAGAGACAAAAAGACATTTTTCTCTCAAAATTGGTGTGGGAAAGGACATGGTCGTGGAGGATGTAATGGTGGTCGAAGTTACCAAAATAACAACTTCGATAGAGGACAGTCAAGCCAACAAAACTGATGTGGCAGAGGACGTGTCTAGAGAGGTGGTAGATCTAATTACAACAATATCAAATGTAACAAACAAGAGTACTATGCAAAAGATTGCAACTCCTACAGTTGCTACAACTGTGGTAAAATGGGACATCTTGCAAAAGATTGTCGTCTCAGAAGAAAGGTAGAAGAAACAACAAACCTTGCTCTAGAAATAGAATCAAATGAAGGATTTATGTTAATGACTCAAAAGGAAGCAGATGCAGAAAATGACACTATGTGGTACCTGGACTCAGGAGCAAGCAACCATATGTATGGTCATAAGCACTTGTTTAAATAAATAAAGAAGATTGATGATGGTCATATTTCCTTTGGAGATGCGTCGAAAGTAAGGGTCGAAGGAAAAGGAACAATCAGTTTCTTGCAGAAGGATGATTTGATAGGATCTATCCAAGATGTGTACTATGTACCAAAACTCAAAGAAAACATTTTGAGTCTGGGACAACTCACAGAAAAGGGCTATTCGATTCTCATGGAAGATCGAGTCTTGCACTTAAAAGACAAGCCGAGACGTCTGGTTGCTCAAGTCAAAATGGGGAGAAATAGAATTTACAAGTTGAATTTGAGAAGCATTCGAGAAAAGTGTTTGCAAGCCAATATCGAAGACCAAGCATCCCTGTGGCATCTTCGTTTTGGTCATTTACATCAAGTTGGACTAAGGAGGTTAGCAAAGAAAAATATGGTGCATGGACTGCCAGATGTGGAATTCGAAGGAAAACTCTATGAAGATTGTGTGTTTGAAAAATAGACGAGAACCTCTTTCCAATCGAAGGCAGAATATCAGGCCAAACAAATTCTGGAATTGATTCACACTGACATATGTGGACCAATTACCCCAGAATCCTTCAGTGGTAAAAAGTATTTTATATCTTTCATTGATGATTTCTCAAGGAAAACTTGGGTGTATTTTCTGAAAGAAAATTCAGAAGCCTTCAAAGTATTCAAGAAGTTTAAGATAATGGTTGAAAAAGCAACAGACAAGCACATCAAAGCCCTTCAATCAGACAGAAGTGGGGAGTATACTTCGACAGTCTTTATGAAGTACTGTGAAGAACAAGGCATAAGAAGATTTTTGACTGCAGCATACTCACCTCAACAAAATGGTGTAGCGGAAAGGAAGAATCGAACAGTCCTTGACATGGTTCGATCAATGTTGAAGAGCAAAAACATGTCGAAGGAGTTTTAGGCAGAAGCTGTACAGTGTGCAATCTACGTTCAAAATAGATGTCCACATTTGAAGCTGAGAGATTTAACACCTCAAGAAGTTTGGAGTGGACAAAAGCCAATTGTGTCTCATTTCAAAGTATTTGGAAGTGTGGCTTATGCACATGTACCTGATCAAAAAAGAATAAAGCTGGAAGATAAGAGTCAGAAATATATACTCATTGGGTATGATGAGAAAATGAAAGGTTAGACTTTTCGACCCAATAAACAAGAAGGTGATAGTAAGTAGAGATGTTCGAATAAATGAAGAAAGCAAGTGGGACTGGAACAACTCCACTGATGTTGTGGTCGAAGTACCAGATGTTATATCGAAAGACACTTCGACAGAACCAGAAAACTCTGATGATGAAGAAGGACTCTCACAGCCCAGGTTGTGAAGCTTACAAGACTTGTATGAAAACACAGAAGAAGTGCATCTTATATGTTTGTTGGCAGACACTGAAGATGTCAATTTTGAAGAAGGAATAAGAAACAAAAACTGGAAGGATGTTATGAATGAAGAAATCAAGGCCATCGAACGCAATGATACTTGGGAACTAACAGAGTTACCAAATGAAAGTCAAACAATTGGTGTAAGGTGGGTGTTTAAGAAAAAGATGAATGCACAAGGTGAAATCGAAAGAAACAAGGTGCGACTTGTGGCGAAAGGATACAGGCAGAAAGCAGGAATTGATTATGATGAAGTCTTCGCACCTGTTGCGAGAATGGAGACAATTTGATTGCTCATATCTCAAGCTGCTCAATACAAATGGAAAATACATCAGATGGATGTCAAGTCAGCCTTTCTGAATGGCATGCTCAAATAAGAAGTTTACATCGAACAACCCCTTGGATTCATGAAAACCGAAAATGAAGGAAAGGTGCTAAAGCTGAAGAAGGCACTTTATGGGATGAAGCAGACACCACGAGCATGGAATACTCGAATTGACACATACTTCAAGGAAAATGGATTTCAACAATGTCCATTCGAACATGCCTTGTATGTGAAGAAGAAAAAAGAGAAAATATTGCTTGTTGCTCTCTATGTTGATGATTTAATTTTCTTGGGCAACAATAATCAGATGATCGAAGATTTCAAAGGCACAATGACACAAGAATTTGAGATGACTAACTTAGGCCTGATGAAATACTTTCTTGGTCTGGAGGTACAACAAGAAGAAACCGGAATCTTCATCTCACAAGAAAAATATGCAAGAGATATCCTGAAGAGATTTAAGATGGATAACTGCAATCCCATTTCGACACCAATGGATCCAGGAGCAAAGCTTTCGAAATTTGATGGGGGAGAGCGTGTCGAAGAAAACAAATTTCGAAGCTTGGTAGGAAGTCTTCGATACCTCACATGCACAAAGGCCAGATCTTTCGCTGAGTGTTGGAATTGTAACTCATTTCATGGAAGAACCAGTTGTTGCACACTGGAAAGTTCTGAAGAGAATCCTTCGATATGTCCAAGGAACTGTGTCACTTGGAATTTTCTATTTAAAAGCAAAAGAATACAAGTTAATTGGAAATGTTGATAATGATTGGTGTGGTGACATTGATGATCGAAAAATCACTTCAGATTATGTATTCTTCATGGGAAAAACTGCTTTCACTTGGCTATCAAGGAAGCAACCCATTGTAACTCTTTAAACCTGTGAAGTAGAGTATGTAGAAGCATTCTGGTGTGTATGCCATGCAATATGGCTGAGAAGATTACTGAGCAAGATGGAATCGAAACAAGAAGATGCAACAATAATTCAAGTTGATAACAAATCTGCAATCGAACTGGCGAAGAATCCAGTCAACCATGAACGAAGTAAGCACATTGATGTTCAATTTCATTTTATTCAAGAACATGTGAAGGATGGAAGCATCAAACTGAAGCACGTTGCAAGCAAAGATCAAGCATCGAACATTCTCACAAAACCACTATCGAAGGAGCTTTTCGACAGAGGCAAGAAAATGCTAGGCATGATGGATCAAAGGAATATTTGAATTTATGGCGGAGTTCTGTTGGTTAAATTCAAATCAGTCTTGGGTAAATCAAAAGTCAGATTCCCTTGGGCAGTGGGAAATTTATTCCTTAGGGACCTAGACATAGTTATTACTGTAACTCTTAATATTCTATCTTGTGACTCTATATAAATCACATTGTAAAAGTTTGTTGGACAAATTTATAAAGAAATAAGTTAATAGTCCACTCCCATTTCCCCCTTAAATTTCTTCAAGTTTACTCTCTGCTGTGTAACCTCCTGACAAAAGTTGAGTGACAGTTGCAAAAGTCGAGGGCGGGCCTTTAAGATTATATAGAATTGTCCATCATCAACTCTTGTACGGGATAAGTTCAACACCTCTAATTTGGGAAACTCAATGGACTTCACTCTTGATGAGTTGATTAAGATCGCACATCCCATGTTACTTAAGTCAAGTATCTGTAGTAATGGGAAAAAGTCATAGTTACAGTCAAAATCAATGTTGGAACAAGTAATATTTTGAGAGAAAGCTCGCAGTCCATTGGCAAGAAAGTTGGATCGGTTGGAGAGATTGAGGAATGTAATATTCAATGGAAAACAAGAGATGTAGGGGAGAAGACTGTCAAGGTCGCAGGAGAGCCGCGAGAAGTCTATGAAAGTGAGGTTGGTAAACCTTTGAAAGAGGTGAATGAAGAAAGGTAGGAAAGATAGATCCGGCGGATACCGGATAGTGAGAGAGAATCGAAGTCGGTTGGTGATAAAGAGGAACTGTTTCGAGACAACGGAGAGAGAGTTGAAGTCGTCATTAAGGAATTTGAATATACATTCCCAATATTCATCCGATAAATACAAATCAGGTGAAATCACAGACAATTGTTGTGAAACTTGAACATAATTTCTTTTCCTTTTCATCTTGTTGAATTCGGTGTTCCGTGAATGGTGTTGATTTGATATTAAGGGTTAGGGTAAAACCTTTTATATATATATATATATATATATATATATATATATATATATATATATATATATATATATATATATAGGTTTCAGGGGACAGTAAACTAATAACGTGTTGTTTCTTGCTCTTCACGTCACAATTATAAGTGGGTTCTTTCACTTATCACAAAAATCAAAATAGTTTACAAATTTTAAAGTTATATTTCGGTAGCACCAAAAAAAGTGCACACCTCCCAACCTTTTTTAAAAAGTAAAATATTAGATTTAATTTATAATAAATTAATAAATTAAATAATTTAAAATTAAAAGATAATTATATTAAAAGAATTAAAAGATGAGTTTAATGAATATACAGTATAAAATAGTTTTACACAATCATCTAATAGAAAATCATCAATCTGTCATTAAATTTTTTTTAAATAAAAGAATAATTTAATTAGATACATTGTGATGATTGATTAACAGTATAAAAATATTTTATACCGTGACTGCATCATTTATTTTTTCTTAAAAAATTAATGTGATTAAATATATATTTTTATTGACTCATTTATGGTATTAGATTTTGTGATATTATTTGTTTGATAGAATTTATGACATCCTTTATAATAGTTTTTTCAGTTTATTTTTATAAAGATAATAAAATTTTATTTTTTATATTTTAATTTAAAATAGAAAAATAATATAATATTAATAAAGTTATCCATATATATTATAATAGGTCTGATCGGGTTTTTTATGGCACGTGTGTTAGTCTTTTTAGCTAAAAATTTATAAAACAACTTACACCAATTCAATTAAAAAAATTTTAATCTGACTCAAGTCTATTTAGGTTACTTAGGCCCATGTTATTATGTCTGGTCTATTCTCACCTTTATTTATAGTTTAAAAATGTTTCATTCTAAACAAATTTAAAAAAAATTAAATCTATAAATTTTACAAATAAATATCGTAGATTTAAAATTATAATTATTCTGAACTGAGTCGGCACTTGTCTCACCGTTGGAAAGATTTAATCCAGTGTCTTTATCAAAGGTCTAAAAGCATGCAATCTAATTTAAATATCGTTGGGCATTTCCCCACGTGTTTGTTAAGAGGACGTAGCCCACGTGTCCATATCATCATTATCATCCTGCCCTCTGGGAATAACAGGTCAAACTCCTACTTTTTCGGGGCAGTTGACCAGGGAGGAGCCCACGTGCTGGACTCCATACACACGTAAACTCTGGCAGTGATCGTTGTTGGGCCTCATCGTGGCCCATCATTGAAGACCTTGGTCCAGCGCTGGGGGCTATAAATACCCTCTCACTTGAGAGGGTCAGGTATTGATATTTCCACTCACTTATTCTTATACTTGCTAGCACTTGCTTTGAACCTTACTTTGAACTTATTTTCATACTTATTCTCATATTTCTCCCCACTTCACATTCAACTACTGCTCGACTAAAAACTTAAAGGCTTTGACAATCTCTTATGGTCAGATACGATCAGTGGCATCGTCCATGGGAAATAACTTCCCCGTCTTCTTCTCAAGACCAAAGCAACTTTTCATCAAACTGTATGATTGTCATGGCTGACCAAGCTGTCGACAATAACTGAAACGCCCACCTCGTCGATCCCAACAACAACAATGTCGGCAATAACAATGTCGGCAACAATAGTGTCGGTAACAACAACGCCGACAACGATATCAACATGCCTGGTCCTCGAGCAGAACTATAGAGACGAATTGACTGCCTCTTCATCATCCCCCTCGCAACTGCGCGAGGAAGACTATCTTCCTCCCCAGAACTACGAACCAAATACATTCTAGGAGGTCCCCATTCTAGCTGGTGCAGACGCCACGATCAGAGCTCTGTTCGCGACCATCAACCAAACCAACTACCTGATCTTCTCACAGGGTGAGCGGCTGAGAATGCTCGAGCAGACTATTACTGGCCCACCATGCACCAAGATGTAAGGGAACACATCAAAAGATGCGACAAATGTCAGACACACGCGGACATGCACCTCGCGCTCCCACACAAACTCAAAACATTGTCGTCTCCGTAGTCGTTTACTTGATGGGGAATGGACATCCTCAGACCATTCGTGCAAGGTTCATATCAAAATAAATTCCTGATTGTGGCCGTTGACTAATTCACGAAGTGGATATAGTCCGAAGCCTTGGTCAGAATCACATCGCACAATATCTTATGTCTCTATAAGAGAAACATACTTGCCTGATTCGGAATACCACAAGCGCTCGTCACCGACAACGGGACACAATTCATTGATCAAACTTTCCAATACTTTATCGCCAAGCTCGACACCAAATAACACTTCACTTCTGCCGAACACCCTCAAACTAACGGGCAAGCTGAGGTCGCGAACAGGGTCGTCCTGCGAGGACTCAAGTGCAGATTGGGTGAAGCCAAAAAAAATTGGGTTGAAGAATTGCATAGCGTCCTATAGGCATACTGAACAACACCACACCTGACGACCGGCAATACCCCATTTTGGTTAACTTATGGTACCGAAGCAATCATCCCCGTGGAAATCACGGAGCCCTATAAGCGAACTGAAGTCCCTCTAGAGGAGGAACTGAATGACGGAGCTCTAATGGAAGAGCTTGACCTGGTCGAGGAAATCTGGTCAGGAGCAGCTCTCCGTGAAGTCACACTGAAACAACAGATAGCCTTCGCCACGAAACCAAAGTCATAAAGCGCGAATTCCAGGTGGGAAGCCTAGTATTACAGAGAATTCAAAAATATTCCCGTGAGGAAAGCTGGCCGCCAACTGGGAAAGGTCGTACCGCATCCGCGGAGCTATGGGCACCGGGGCATACTACCTCGAACACCTAAATGGAGAATCGTTGTATCGACCATGGTATGCTATAAAGTTGAAACAATATTATAGCTACGTCCTTGCTAAGAAGTCGGGCCCTAGTAGTCTACGAGTTCTCTCCGACAAACGACAGGACGCGCTCGACCACAGAGGCATGTCGAGGTACGGACATAACCTCCAAACATCAACGAAAGGCGGGTTTGTTGCCCATATCTAAATCAGAACCTTAGCCTGACAGGGACACCTCGATTGAGCTCTATTGTTGAAGTACCCAACAGGCATAACACCAAACTCACGATGGGAAGTTCACGCCACGAAGTCAAGACCCCGATCGCGATCTTGACTTTGTTTCCCGGATTCCTACTCTACCTCCTTTACACATTCCAACATGCGTCGATCACGAAATGCACAGATCAAGCACAACAACAAGCAAATATTTAACAAATATAATTGAGGGAAAGTAAAGCATTTATAAATGCCGACCATGAAGGTCAGTGTTGTCAAAATAATTACAAAGATACGGGTACGCAGATCTAAACAATAGCAAAACGGGAGAAGCCCTTGTCAAATTTACAAAACAAATGTATGGGCATGCATGCCACTAAAAAAACTCAAATCTCATCCTCCCCGTCACTTCCATACACAGGATCATCATCGGGGGGATAAAATATTTTACCATCAACCACCTGATTAAATGGTGTGATACGGTGGGAGAACTGACTTGAGGTTTTGCATTTTGTCGCAAATGTCGCGGTTAGCAAGAGTCGCCACCGACTTTTCTTTTATCCAAAAGGAAAGGTAAAAAAGCACAGGAAAGACCTTTGAGATGTTTTTTTGAGTTCGGGGGGTAGATTATGAAAAGGGAAGGTGCTAGCACCCTTTTCATCCATGGTTTTCCATGGGCTCTTAGTTACTTGCTTAGATCACTTGCTTTGCTTTGTTTTCTTTGAAATGGTGTTTGGTGTGATTTTGAAAGTATTTTGAAAAGAGGCCATTTGTTTAGGCAATCTTTGTAATAATTCTCGTTCGTAAGAATGTATACAGAGATGTTTGTCTTTTGAAAAATGTTTCAATGTTTTGTAAGATGTTTTGAAATGTGTGTGTGTGTGTTTTTAAAAATAGCAAGGATTTTTTTGAAATGGAGCAAGTAACTTAGAAGCTATCTACCTACTCAAATGTCTTTCTTGTGCATTTTCATTCCTTTGACATTGTTGACTTACCATTGATTTGGTAAGCAACCCTATCTTTGGATGTAAACGGGACAGGCGTGGGTCATCGTATGACCATGAAAGCAATGTTGCCAAGTATCTTAGCATGTTTGGAGGGACCAAGATCATTTTGTTTTAGGCAACTTTTGAATAGCGTCATCGAGGGACTATGATCTTATACTTGTTTTGTTTTGCCAAGATACTTCGCATGCGTAACATGGCCATTTTATTTTAGGCAACCAAGTGAGAGAAACCCTAAGGGTGCTTGTGTGCAAAGTGTGTCATTTTTCATGCTTTTGTCTTGCATTAGGTTTTTCTATTTGTTTGGTTTTTGTTCTTGTCATGCAAACTCTAATTTACTAAACATGGTATATGAAAGCAATAAATTGCGTAAAATAAACTAAGCTATTACAACAATTATTATGGGAGGGGGGATATAAGTTTTGAATGGGGATTTTTGCACAAATATAAACCTAAAAATATTATTACAACCCAATCGAATATGGTGCGAATTAAATAAATATACAAATATTTAAAATAAAATGCAATGTATTTATGTAAAAATGTTTTGGTATTTGTTTTTTTGTATGAGAAAAATAATTAATTTAAACCCTAAAAAAAGGAAAAAATAATATTATATTTGGAGGGGTGAAACCCTAGTTTTTAATTAAAATAGTGTTTCATGTTAATATTTTATCCATTATTGTATAAGAAAATAATAAATAATATCATATATAAATATTAAAATTAAGTATGTATAAAAATAATTATTTATAATTATAAATAGTATAATAGAAAAAATGTTAAGTATTTTTAATTGTATTTACAAACTATTTAAGAAAACAAATTCTATTTATTAAAATAAACTATTTTTCATGTGAAAAAAAATAATAAAAAAATAAAATAAAATTGCAAAAAATA